TAAAAGAATGTGGAGCATAATGCACTGCTACGAGTGCTGCCCTGTTACCCCGAACGCCGCTGCGCGAACGCAACCAGCTGCGCGCACCAAACGCACGCACAACTCGCTCGCTCGCGTGCCAACACACGATCGCAAAGAAGCAAGCACCCCCCGTGGGGCTCGAACCCACGACCACTGGCTTAAAAGGCCAGCGCTCTACCGACTGAGCTAGACGGGTGTACCTTCACGACCCTTACAGCAACTTAACAACAACAACGCGCAACACTAACAACGAACAACACCTACACGACACGCTACACGAACCGCACAGAAACCACACGCGCACAGACCGACACGGCAGACCTTCAGACGCACCCTCGCCACCCGCCTTTTCCCTGTCAGGCACTGCCGTCCTCGATACCACATCGCTTCAACCTTTGTCATTTCTTCCGCATGCACGCCCCGCACGACCTACACGCGGCCTGCCGCCTGTATGTCCGCATGTCGAGGGGCCCGCACCGAGCGTTGTCCTGAAGCCATAGCGGTGACGCAGCAAGAAACCGCTGGCACCTTTTCTCGATCTCGCCCACCCACCCCACATGCACAAATACCAACTATTAATACCACCACTACTTTAACGACCACCTCCTTCGCCACATCCGCGACCGTAAGACAGACGACCGGAGTGGGCATCCATATCAAGCTTGAGTGGTCTTTTTTTTTTGGCTTAGGCGGCACGAACCAGCGCCCATACCATTTCTCGACCTGCAGAACCGCGCAACTTAATCGGTTGATTGTCGGCTCACCGAAGGCAAGGAGACGGGAAACACGGTGGTTAAAGAGAGGGACACGCCAGAGCATTGGCACGTTCGATTTCTACCACAGCAAGCAACACGTGAGCCGCCCCACGGGCACAAACTTCTGGTGGCTGGCCAGACATCTGGACATCTGGGCTCTGTAATCGCAGCACCCACTCAACACGCCTTGTAGATCTATGAGCGGCGGACCTTCTCTCCGACTCCAGCGTGGTTCGATCGATCGAATGGCCTGTTGCCAGTGCCTATCCTGTTAACAGGCGAGCTTGAAGGAAGCAGCGAAGTCAAGCTTGGCGCTTGTGCTAGCCCTTGAGACGTTGTGGCAGGACGGGTATTATCCGCAAGAACGCAATTGCGTTGGCGGGATCAGCGTGAATTGTATTGTGTGTGTGTGTGGGGTGTGTGTCCAACGAGCTACAGTATCCCAGTCGACACATTGGAGCTGAGGCCAACGAAAGCAAGGCGGATACAATGCGTTGCAGGCACGACGTAGAATGCGTTGGTAAATGGGTAAAAGAATGTGGAGCATAATGCACTGCTACGAGTGCTGCCCTGTTACCCCGAACGCCGCTGCGCGAACGCAACCAGCTGCGCGCACCAAACGCACGCACAACTCGCTCGCTCGCGTGCCAACACACGATCGAAAAGAAGCAAGCACCCCCCGTGGGGCTCGAACCCACGACCACTGGCTTAAAAGGCCAGCGCTCTACCGACTGAGCTAGACGGGTGTACCTTCACGACCCTTACAGCAACTTAACAACAACAACGCGCAACACTAACAACGAACAACACCTACACGACACGCTACACGAACCGCACAGAAACCACACGCGCACAGACCGACACGGCAGACCCTCAGACGCACCCTCGCCACCCGCCTTTTCCCTGTCAGGCACTGCCGTCCTCGATACCACATCGCTTCAACCTTTGTCATTTCTTCCGCATGCACGCCCCGCACGACCTACACGCGGCCTGCCGCCTGTATGTCCGCATGTCGAGGGGCCCGCACCGAGCGTTGTCCTGAAGCCATAGCGGTGACGCAGCAAGAAACCGCTGGCACCTTTTCTCGATCTCGCCCACCCACCCCACATGCACAAATACCAACTATTAATACCACCACTACTTTAACGACCACCTCCTTCGCCACATCCGCGACCGTAAGACAGACGACCGGAGTGGGCATCCATATCAAGCTTGAGTGGTCTTTTTTTTTTGGCTTAGGCGGCACGAACCAGCGCCCATACCATTTCTCGACCTGCAGAACCGCGCAACTTAATCGGTTGATTGTCGGCTCACCGAAGGCAAGGAGACGGGAAACACGGTGGTTAAAGAGAGGGACACGCCAGAGCATTGGCACGTTCGATTTCTACCACAGCAAGCAACACGTGAGCCGCCCCACGGGCACAAACTTCTGGTGGCTGGCCAGACATCTGGACATCTGGGCTCTGTAATCGCAGCACCCACTCAACACGCCTTGTAGATCTATGAGCGGCGGACCTTCTCTCCGACTCCAGCGTGGTTCGATCGATCGAATGGCCTGTTGCCAGTGCCTATCCTGTTAACAGGCGAGCTTGAAGGAAGCAGCGAAGTCAAGCTTGGCGCTTGTGCTAGCCCTTGAGACGTTGTGGCAGGACGGGTATTATCCGCAAGAACGCAATTGCGCTGGCGGGATCAGCGTGAATTGTATTGTGTGTGGGGGGTGGGTGGGTGTGTCCAACGAGCTACAGTATCCCAGTCGACACATTGGAGCTGAGGCCAACGAAAGCAAGGCGGATACAATGCGTTGCAGGCACGACGTAGAATGCGTTGGTAAATGGGTAAAAGAATGTGGAGCATAATGCACTGCTACGAGTGCTGCCCTGTTACCCCGAACGCCGCTGCGCGAACGCAACCAGCTGCGCGCACCAAACGCACGCACAACTCGCTCGCTCGCGTGCCAACACACGATCGCAAAGAAGCAAGCACCCCCCGTGGGGCTCGAACCCACGACCACTGGCTTAAAAGGCCAGCGCTCTACCGACTGAGCTAGACGGGTGTACCTTCACGACCCTTACAGCAACTTAACAACAACAACGCGCAACACTAACAACGAACAACACCTACACGACACGCTACACGAACCGCACAGAAACCACACGCGCACAGACCGACACGGCAGACCCTCAGACGCACCCTCGCCACCCGCCTTTTCCCTGTCAGGCACTGCCGTCCTCGATACCACATCGCTTCAACCTTTGTCATTTCTTCCGCATGCACGCCCCGCACGACCTACACGCGGCCTGCCGCCTGTATGTCCGCATGTCGAGGGGCCCGCACCGAGCGTTGTCCTGAAGCCATAGCGGTGACGCAGCAAGAAACCGCTGGCACCTTTTCTCGATCTCGCCCACCCACCCCACATGCACAAATACCAACTATTAATACCACCACTACTTTAACGACCACCTCCTTCGCCACATCCGCGACCGTAAGACAGACGACCGGAGTGGGCATCCATATCAAGCTTGAGTGGTCTTTTTTTTTTGGCTTAGGCGGCACGAACCAGCGCCCATACCATTTCTCGACCTGCAGAACCGCGCAACTTAATCGGTTGATTGTCGGCTCACCGAAGGCAAGGAGACGGGAAACACGGTGGTTAAAGAGAGGGACACGCCAGAGCATTGGCACGTTCGATTTCTACCACAGCAAGCAACACGTGAGCCGCCCCACGGGCACAAACTTCTGGTGGCTGGCCAGACATCTGGACATCTGGGCTCTGTAATCGCAGCACCCACTCAACACGCCTTGTAGATCTATGAGCGGCGGACCTTCTCTCCGACTCCAGCGTGGTTCGATCGATCGAATGGCCTGTTGCCAGTGCCTATCCTGTTAACAGGCGAGCTTGAAGGAAGCAGCGAAGTCAAGCTTGGCGCTTGTGCTAGCCCTTGAGACGTTGTGGCAGGACGGGTATTATCCGCAAGAACGCAATTGCGCTGGCGGGATCAGCGTGAATTGTATTGTGTGTGTGGGGTGGGTGGGTGTGTCCAACGAGCTACAGTATCCCAGTCGACACATTGGAGCTGAGGCCAACGAAAGCAAGG